GTCAGTCGACGTAAGTCCGAAACCAGACCCCCATCTGAAACCCCAGTGCGGTCCGCCTACTACAGTGGTGGCAGCGCAACGACCGTGCCCACAACCCCTGAACATGTCTGGCAACAAAACAAATCCAACGCGCACCGTCGACATACCACCCTACGATGGTTCCGAGTCCTTCACGGTGTGGCTAAGACGCGCGAAGTTCTATTTGCGGGAGATCGCAGAGGCCGACAGGCCCTGGACGTTACTCAAGGCCCTTGCGCCTAAACAGTTGGATAAGGCGCTCGACGCTGGTCTCGACGCCGACCTCCCCTTCGACGCGCTTTGCCAACGCCTGGCTAACCTGTTCAGCCATACCTACTCCTTCGGCGACGCAATGGAACAGTTGCAGAAACGGAGGTTGAACCAAGAGGAAACCCTTAACCAGCTGGTGGAGGACCTGCAACGCCTGACAACGGTGGCTTTTCCCTCTTTGGGCTCTGCAGATAAGGATAACACCGTACTCTATTATTTTATTAAAGCGCTGCCGACATCCGACCTTTCACGGTCACTGTTGTTGCAGCCGCCGGACAGTTTACAAGAGGCCGTCACCAGGGCCGAACGCTACCTGCGTTTGTGCCCTCCAACTTCCCGTCCCCTTCCTCCTGAAGATGCACACGGTCGAGATGCCCACCCTACGTCCGCGGGACCAGGTACCTTCTATCCCCCACGACGTTTCAGCGGCCAAACACGACCACCCTTCAATCGTCGAGGAGGACCGTTTCGCCGGCCAGGTGGACAAATGCTTCCCAGAAACCACATCTGCACCTGTCAAAGGCCAACGGGTACGGTCTCTATTACTTCTTGCACCAGCTCTACTTTATCAGTTACCCCTTTTTATGCCACAGTAACCGTAGCTGGTCAGACTGTAAAGGCGTTGATTGATACGGGAGCGACGGTATCCCTAGTTAACCCACGGGTCTTACAACCGGGTATTCAGCGCCAGCGTAATGACATTCACCACCCAGGACGATTGACCACGGCCGACGGATCACGCTTAATACACCATGGGACCGTGCCCCTCACCGTGACTCTCCCCTATTTCACAGCCGAACATAGTTTTATCATAACACCCCATCTCACGTGGGACATACTCCTCGGGACTGATTTCCTCGCGCGTTACGAA